CTATAATGAATAACAATCCATTTAAAATATTTAAAAACAACAAAAATAGGTGGTAAAACAAACTCGGCATGTTTCCTTAAAATGCAAAACCTATTATATCATTAAAATTATTTGTTTAATAATAAAAACCAAAACAGAAAGCAGCCAGCATAGACACCGTTCGCCCTGGGAGGCTCTGGGAAGCCCTTCCAGGGGGCACGGCCCTGCAGGAGCCTAAGCTTGTGCAGCGCTGGCAGGAAGGTGGGAGGCTCCACAGGAGTGGAGGGCCCTGGGCAGAGGGCACAAGTCCCAGCGGCTGACACATGATGGGCTGCTCTTCATCTGGCTGACTTGATGTGGCAATGGTTTCTTTATCCAGCCACCCACCTATATGCCTGTTTTTCCATAGTTAATTATGACCACAGAAGACAAAAGGCTCCGGATTGAAACCACCCATGCTGAAAGCCTAATTCCACCACACCAGGCCAGCTGCTTTATACACAGGTGCCTTCGTTTTCCTGGAGCTGGGAGCACTAACCTCAGAGGGCTGAGCTGTCAACAGGGCGACATTTGTAAAGCATTCAGAATAGTGCCCTGCACCTAGTAAGCATTCAACAAATGTTAGCTATTGGGACTATGAATATGGTTATGATCATTTCCTGAGCAACGCCAGGGAGGCTAGCTAATAATGTATGATATGTGGGAAGCCAAGGAGAATGGAAAATTATAGAGATATCAAGCATTCAAATAGAAGCGCACCTTGAAGTAGATTTTAAACAGCTGATTCACCAGAAACAGCATGCCCCACTTCTTTGAGTCCTCTATACCAGCGCGGCTACAGGGAAATAATTTTCTTAAAGTTATATAGGAAATAAAGTGTTATTTACAAACCACAAAATAAAATGCCTAAACAAATTAACATCTTGAGGTAAAGTCCCAAAGCTCAAGTTACATTCATCAAACAAAATAACATTATGAGAAAAGATGTCTTACCTGATGGGCAAAAATGAAAGGAAAGGCAAACCAGGAAAATCCCCATTCACTACTTGAGTAACACACTCCCTCCACAGCACCAGCTAAAAACTGCCTAATTTGCAGCAACAATGTGTAAAAGTTAATCGTTATAAATCATTCACGAAAAACAGGGCTTGGTGGTGCATGCCTGTAATCTCAGCTACTCAGGGGGCTGAGGCAGGAGAGTCACTTGAACCCAGGAGGCAGAGGTTGCAGTGCGCCGAGATTGGGCCAATGCACTCCAGCCTGGGTGACTCTGTCTCCAAAAAAAAAAAAAAAAAAAAAAGAAAAGAAAAATGGAAAAATACAACAAAAAAACCCAGTAAATCACACAAAGAGGATAAGTCCACCAAGGAAGACACATTTACCTGAAGTCACCAAAGAGGGAGAAGTGACTCACAGTGGAACAAATCCAGACAGCAGAAAGAGCCTGCCCAAAATGAGGGATGAGGGAAGTTTCTGGGGTGACAATAATGGCCTGTGCCTCAACAGCAAACATACAGATAATATTGTACGTTCACTGGATGTAAATTTTACCTTGAAAGATGAAAAAACAGAAACTGAAGTACCTGGGGGAGAATATACCACTGTCTGCCGTTAACTTGGAAATAGTCATGCGTTACACAACATTTCAATTAACTACAGGCCACGTGTGGGATGGGGTCCTACAGATCCTCATGCTGTATTTTTAGTGCACCTTTCCTGTGTTTAGATATGTTCAGACACACAGATGTCCCACTGCGCTGTAGTTACGTACAGCACTCGGTGCGGCACGCGCTGCCCTTGCTCCCTGTAGCCTGGGGGCCGTAGGCTACGCCACACAGTGGGGGTGTGGAGCAGGCCACACCATCCAGGTTTATGCAAGTACACTCTAGTGTTAACACCTAAAGTCAAGGCACAAAAATATAAAAGTGCCCAGTATGGAAAACAAGCAGCTGGTTCACAAGCCAGAGAAAATAAAATTACTCTTAAAAGACCAAAGTGTGTCTATACAGAAACACTTAAAATAATATAAAAGTACAATTTTAAAGTATCAAAGCCTGTTTGATAACTGCCCGTGAGCTAGTCTAACCAGCTCTTTTGTATGGCTTTTATCACTACCTAGGGGTAGGACTGCAAACAAGATTCTCTCAAGGCTTCATCTTTCTCATTTGAAGACGAAAAGAAACAATAATACTGTTCTATGACTTCAAAGGGTTATGGAAAAGCCAAACAAAACACACCACACAAGTACTCTGTAACTCACGTAAAATGCTACATGCATGGTGACATCCTAGCTGGGCTGACTCCAGGGACAATTACCTCTACTGGAGACATGTGACAAAAGCAAACCCCAAGAGGAAAGAGACATCACTGGGGATTTGCCCCTATCTTCTGAGTGTCCCTCTCAGAGTGGAACTACGGGGTCACACGGTAACTCTACATTTAACTCTGAGGAACTGCCGTCCCGTTTCTGTGCAGCAGCTACACGTGTCTGTTCCCTGGCAATGTGTACGAGGCTCCTGTCTCTCCACACCCTTGCTGGCACTGCCTGTCTTCTGATTACAGTCCTCCCATAGGGTGTGGAGTGGCAGCTCTTGGTGGTTCTGATCTGCATTTCAAGTGACTGATGCATTAGTCATTGGTGACTACTGATGTTGAGCATCTTTTCATGCACTTACTGGCCAGCTGTGCGTTTTGTTTGGAAGGTTTTTCAAACTCTTTAACCATTTTAAAATTGGATTATTTGTCTTTCTACTGTTGAGTTGTAATAGTTCTTTATATATTCTGGATATTAGGTCCTTATCACATATATTATTTGCAAATATTTTTTCCTAGTTTATGGTTGTTTTTTACTTTTTTGATAATGTCCTTTGAAATCTAAAGTTTTAAATTTTGGAGTTCAATTTATTTTTTTCTTTGGTTGCTCATGCGTTTGGTGTCATATCTGAAGAAACCACTGCCCAATCAAAGGTCATGCAGACCGCTGCTGTGCAGATAGACAATCAAGCAGAATTTCAAGTATTCATCGAAGAAACACTGAGCTTCTGTGGTGCAAGGAGCGCAGTGATGGAGAAGGCCCACAGCCTCATGCACTCGCATCAAACACACAGCACCTACACGGTCATCAAATCACCCAATAAACGCAGTGGAAGGAATTTTATAAAAGAAGACTCTGATCCACTGTGAAGTCCAGCAGCAAGAGCTCTAGAGAAGGCAGAGACCTTCAAAACAGCGTAGACAGCCAGGAGTGGAGGAGAACCTCGGCCTCAACGGGAAAGTGCCGTGGCACAGCAAGGACTCTTCCACCGTCCAGCCTAGGTAGGAACGTTCTGAAGTGAGGCTGGGTAGGGAGGCCGTGTTATCCCCACAGCACTGCACATTGTGCAGGCTTGGCCGAACAGCTGCACAGCTCACACTCTGCTTATCTTCAGCAACAGAATGCCTGAGGTCAGAGGCTCCCCTTTCGGTTAAACCAGCTAAGACCAGCAGGACACAAAGCGGAGGTCTACCTGGCCTTTGCAGGGCCTCCAAACGTCATGACAATCTCATTTTCATGCTCAGTGACACTCCCACCAATGCCACAACAGTTGACAATCACCATGACAGTGATGGGAAGAAGCCATAAGGACATAAAGATGGCAGTACTTCAGCTCCCAGAAGTCTACCGCCCATTTCCAGAAAAGCATGAATACTGCTCCCCTTGCTTGGAGTGTCAACGTCATCACTAAAGAAACCCTGTATTCCAATCCCCTCACCCTTCCTAAGTGGAAAAGCTGATCTGTGAGCCACACTCCTGCGTCTTCATTCCTCGGCCTCACATACAGCTTGTTCTGCTCAACACTCACTTTTGGTTTCATGGGTTGGATCTACAACACCCAAGAGCAAAAGCTCCCACCTTTTGAGGCCACCGAGTTTATTGGCAGCAGACACAGTTAGGGAAAACAGGTGCTAGGCTACTGCTATGGTTTAGATGTGGTTTTTTGGCCCCATCAAGCCTCATGTTAAAACCTGAACCCCACTGTTGGAGGTGGAGCCTAATGGAGGTTTTTGGGTCACAGGGCAGACCCCTCATGAATGGCTTGGTGCCGTCCTTGCCATAATGCATGAGTTCTCGCTCTGAGCTCTTGTGAGCGTTCCCAGACAGCTGGTTGTGGAAGAGCCTGGTGCCTCCCCTTCTATCTCCTGCCATGGGGTAGGCTTCTCTTCACCTTCCCGCATGAGTGGAAGCAGCCTGAGGCCTCACCAGAAGCAGATACCAGCACCATGCTTCTTGTGCAACCTGCAGAACTGTGAGCCAAACAAATCTCTTCTCTTACTTCCCCAGCCTCAGGTATTCCCTTACAGCAACACAAGAGGACTAAAACAACTACTCTCTGGAAACAATAGTTTTTTTGTTTATTTATATATGGGCACCTTTGATAATGTTTCTTTGCTTTAAAATGTCCTAAATGTCATAAATAAATGTGATTATATAATGGATGAAGAGATGGGAGCTTTAGGGTAAAAAAAATGGAAACTCTAAAGTAAAATCAGATGGAAAGTTGAGAATTAAAAATAACTAATGGCAGATAAGATCAGTCAACTTGTAAGTCAGTTAGTACAAATTACCCAAAATGAAGGAGAGGGAAAAAAAAAATATTGAAGCCTGGTGCAGTGGCTCACATCTGTAATCCCAGCACTTTGGGAGGCTGAGGCAGGTGGATCACTTGAGGTCAGAAGTTCAAGACCAGCGTGGCCAACATGGTGAAACCCATCTCTACCAAAAATACAAAAATTAGGTGGAAGTGGTGGCAGGTGCCTGTAATCCCAGCTACTCGGGAGGCTGAGGCAGTAGAATGGCTTGAACCTGGGAAGAGGAGGTTGCAGTGAGCTGAGATGGTGCCACTGCATTCCAGCCTGGACAAGAGAGCAAGACTCTGTCTCAAAAAAAAAAAAAAAAAGGTTAAAAAATAAAGAGTAACAGTGGCCTGCGTGGGATAATATCATGCATTTAACACATATGCAGGTGAAATCCCAGAAGGAGAGGAGACAAAATGGGGCCAAAAGTAGTTGAAGAAAGAATGTAAAAAATTAAATTTTTAAAAAATTCCAGGAAGCCCAATGAATCCTAAACAGGAGAAATTAAAGGAAAAGAAAAAGGCAACTATGTCCATCAGAGCCAAATTACTGAATGCCCATGATAAAGGGAAAACAATAGCCAGAGGAAAAAGACCTGTTCTATATGGGGAACAATGGCAGGGACTCATCAGAAGCAAAGGAAACCAGATGGAATGACACTTTTAAAGTGCCAAAAGGGAAAAAAAGCAGTCAACCCACAAGACTCCATCTAGCAAAAGGAGCCTTTAAAAAGGAAGATAATCAGTGCTGCTTCTTCACTGGTAAAAAGAGAAAATGTCTTAAAAAAAAATAAAGACAGTTTCAGAAAAATGAAAGCCTAGAGGATTCACTGCCCACAGACCCTCACCAAATGCAAATGCTGAAGTAAGTGCTTCAGGAAAGGGAAATGGCACAGACGGAAACTGGGACCTGCAGAGGCTCCAGGCACGGTCACATGTGGGCAATGAAAAGACTGGGACCAGCAGAGGCTCCAGGCACGGTCACATGTGGGCAATGAAAAGACTGGGACCAGCGGAGGCTCCAGGCACAGTCACATGTGGGCAATGAATAGACAGGGACTAGCGGAGGCTCCAGGCACGGTCACATGTGGGCAATGAAAAGACTGGGACCTGCAGAGGCTCCAGGCACGGTCACATGTGGGCAATGAAAAGACAGGGACCAGCAGAGGCTCCAGGCACGGTCACATGTGGGCAATGAAAAGACTGGGACCTGCAGAGGCTCCAGGCACGGTCACATGTGGGCAATGAAAAGACTGGGACCTGCAGAGGCTCCAGGCACGGTCACATGTGGGCAATGAAAAGACAGGGACCAGCAGAGGCTCCAGGCACGGTCACATGTGGGCAATGAAAAGACTGGGACCAGCAGAGGCTCCAGGCACGGTCACATGTGGGCAATGAAAAGACTGGGACCAGCAGAGGCTCCAGGCACGGTCACATGTGGGCAATGAAAAGACAGGGACCAGCAGAGGCTCCAGGCACGGTCACATGTGGGCAATGAAAAGACTGGGACCTGCAGAGGCTCCAGGCACCGTCACATGTGGGCAAATGAAAAGACCTCTCTTCCCCTGAGCTCTTCTTTCCTTTACAAAACAATTAACTTTCCAAAGCAAAAATAACGATGGCTGTGGGATTATGTGTGGAAGTAAAATACATGTCAACAATAAACACAGGCCAGAAAGGGGTGAACACTGCAATAAAGAACACGACCAACAGCGTCTTGTGTTCCTCAAGTCCTTACTCACGTGTCGCTGGCACAGACCCGGAAACAGCTCATCAGTAACTCTGCTGCTTTTTCTAACATGTCCCCAACTTTGCTTTTTCCTTTCTTTACCAACTGCTGATCTGCCTAAGAAAATATAAAAACATTTATTTTATTTTTCCGAGGCAAGGTCTTGCTGCGTTGCCCAGGTTGGACGCAGTGGCACAATCACACCTCACTGTAGCCTCAGCCTCCTGGGCTACACCCATCCTCCCATCTCAGCCTTCTGAGGAAGTGGAACCAGGGAACCAGACACCACAATGCCTGGCTAGTTTGGGGGTTTTTGTTTTAATTTTAATTATTTTTTTTTGCCCGGGGGGCGGGGAGAGATAGGGTCTCACTTTGTTATTCTGGCTGATCCTGAACTTCTGACTCCAAGTAATCCTCCCACCTTGGCCTCCCAAAGTGTTGGGATTACAGGCATGAGCCACTGTGCACAGCCAAAACATTTACTCCTTAACGTAAAAAATGGATACAATTAAGAGTCAAAGTCTCAAAGGATTCTGGAGAAATCAGCTAGCATGTACCATAATATTTTAAAAAATGGAGTAGTCTATATTATTCCAATTCTTCCACAAGCCAAATCTTTCTTCAATTAATTCAAGTCAGTCACCAATTTTTCAAACCTGCACTACTTATGTTAATATGCTACTGAGCTTTCTCTTACTTAGGTCCCTGAAGTTGGCTAGTCAAAATGCTTGAAATAAAAACGTTTAACAAACATTAAAGACATCACTGAGTTTGACTTTTCCCCTGAATTTAGGAGGATAGCCTTGGTTAAAGAAGAAAGAACCTGTTTCTCCCACTTGTGTTCTCCACAAACCCGAGGCCTACAACAGGTGTGCAGATGACCACACACAGCTCAAACTATATTTACAACAACACTAAGCCATCATGGTCTTTTTTTTACTGTATTATAACATTTACACTGATGGTGCAAAAACAGCAATAGGTAAAATGCTGGAGTGCTCTCACCGGCACCAAACTACAAGATAATCATGTTCTTAAATACCAGACACTTGCAATCAATCAACAAACCAATACAATTCGTTTCCCTTTATGACCTTGATGGGCCAAGCACAGTGGTTCGGACCTGTAATCCCAGCACTTTGCGGAGGCTAAGGTGGAAAATCACTTGAACCTAGGAGTTTGAGACCAACCTGGGCCACGTGCCAAGAATCTGTCTTTATGAAAAATTTTAAAATTGGCCTGATATCATGGCATACGCCTGTAGTCCCAGCTACTCGGGAGGCCGAGGTGGGAGGCTTCAGCCCAGGAACTGGAGCCTGCAGCGAGCTATGATTGCACCATTGCACTTCAGCTTGAGTGGCAGAGCAAGGCCATCTCTAAATAGATAAATAAAATGTTGTTGATAATGCAGCAAATATGAATTTTCTTAAATCCTGGTCCTTGAGCACACGTATTTTAGATATTCTTTGTGATGAAATGAGAAGCATGCAGCACTTCTGGTGCACACGGTGTCTCATGACTGTTTATGGAAAAGCTCTGGGCAGCTGTCTGAGCTGTGAGCTGGACTAGCTGCTTCTTGGGGAACAGAAAATTGACAGGCAAACACAGCTACCCAGCCTTGAGCATCTGGCAGACCATGTTCTCCAAAATGAATGAAACAAATTTGTCACTTCTAGGCAAACAACTGATAGTACTGGTTACCAATGACATTTGTGCTTTCAATAAAAATCAGAATTCTGGGAAACTTTTATCAACCACCATGAGCTTAGCAGTTTCTCCTTACTCCAAGACTTTTCTGATGAGGTCCCTGGAGATGTTAAGAAAGGTAGGGGCTTGGGGGTTGGGTTTTTAACAGTGGTGTGTCAACACTTGGCAGCTGCTGCATGGCTCAGTAAGCCAACATTCTCCAAATGGCCTGCTATGGTCTAAATGTTTGTGTCCCCTCCAAGGCTCATGCTGAATCCTAATCCTCAAGGTGATAGCGTTTGGAGGAGGGGCCTTTAGGAGGTGATGGGGTCATGAAGGTGATGCTGTCATGAATGGGATTGGTGCCCTCATAAAAGACCCCAGAGAGATCCCTTGCCCCATCTACCACATGCTGACACAGCAAGAAGATGCTATGAGCCAGGGAGCAGTGCTCGCCAGACCCTGAATCTGCTGGTGACTTGATCTGGGACCTCCCTGCCTCCAAAACTGTGAGACATCAATGTTTGTTGTTTACAAGCCACCCAGTTTACAATGTTTTGCTGGAGCAGCCCAAATGGACCAAGATATGACTAATGCAAAATACAACAAAATCCTTTCAAAGTGCTCTAGGCAGACCAGTGGATCTTAGTGCAAAGGTAGAAAAAGTCTATTGTACACTTCAGAAGCCACACTGTTAACTAACCTTTAAAAAACAACTGCTTCTTGGAGTTTTGGTATACAGAGTCAAAGAAGAATTATCTCAGTGGTCTGGAAAGCCTATCAGAATATTTCCCTCGTCTCCACTTGCATCTTTGTGAGGCCAGAATGTCTTGAAATACTTTATTAAAAACAGTATACTGCAACAGAGTGAGTGCAGAAGCAGGTAAGAGGACTAGATGGCTTCTGCTGAACTCGACATCAAAGAGGTCAAAAGTGATGTGACACCACTTTTCCTAGTATTTTGTTTTGGAAATATAGTTATTTTTTATTTAAAAAGTCAGTTATGTTACATGTAAAAGGTTTACTGTTGTTGTTTTAAAATGAATAAATATTTAAAAATCTTCTCTAATTAAAATTTCTAATATAGTAAATATAAACAGATAAAACAAAAATAAAAGCTCTCTGGGGTCTTCAATATACTTTTCAGTTCTAAAATTTCCATTTGGTTCTTCTTTGTGTTTCCTATTTCCCTGTTGAGCCTTTAAATATTTTCATTCGTTTCAAGCATGTTCTTAATTGCTTGCTGAATCATTCTTAGAGGGCTGTTTAAAATTCCTGTCAGATAATTCCAACAGCTGTGAAATCTTAGCATTGGTGTCTTCTGCTGAATATTTTTTCTCATTCGAAATTTTTAAAAGTTGAGATTTTTCCTGGTAATCAGTGTCATTAAATCCTGAACATTTGGGGCATTACGTGACAAGACGATGGACCTTACTTATCTTGCTTTTAACAGGCCTCACCACACAAGTAGGGAAACAGGGGCACCCCTTTGCCCCTGAGTCGGGGAGACCCAGGTCCCCTGCGCAGCCTCTGACATCAACCTGGTGGGAAGGGGACCAGCTCCTCATTACTGCTAGCCCAGGGTGGAGGTCCTGGGCCGCCCGCAGCCTGTACCACTTTGCTGATGGGGTAGGAGGGACTTGCTGACTTTTTGTGCCTGACACTGGAGTGAAGCAGTGACGGTCAGAGTTCTGTCGTGCTGGACTGTCCTCCCAGCCTCCTGGATTCCTTGGGGCTTTTTGTCTCTGCCTGATGGTGGAAGACTTCAAGCTTCTAAGGCACCCAGTCCAGGACAGACAGGAAGCAAAAAGGAAACCCGGGTACTCCCTACACGTGACTCTGAGAGCCCCATCCCCCCTTCTCTCCATCTCCCATAGCCATGCTGGCCTGACAACTCCCAAGGTTTTAACTGTTTAACAGGTGCAGTAGGGAGAAATCTACTGCATCCTGCCTGGAACTGGAGTCATCAATCATTTCTAAAACTGTAAAGGGGTTGTCCTTAGACCAAAAAGTTGACAAATGCTGCTCCGTAATGGGAGCTTCTGTGGGTCCCCAAGGGGAAGTCACCTCCATAAAAGCCAGGATCTCCCCTCACCCCAGGAAGCCCCTTGCTACTGCCCAAATCTATATAAAGCTGAATTCTTTTCGGCGGGGAGCAGGCCACATCTTAAGGGTAGAAGAGACACAGAATAGCTCATATGTTGTTGTTCCACTCATTTCACAAAAATAACACATACCATAAATGGTTAACCACAGACTGAAACCTCTCCCTCTATATGAACAGTGTGGAAATCTGAGCAAATGTTTATTTAAATCTGTTTGTGTTAACCCAGAAAAAATAGTCAATATCTGTTCTTTTGCTCCCTATACCAGTCACATCTCAACTCCCATTTACCCCTCAAAAAATTTGGAAAAAATAACATGAAATTAAACAACAGTCACCAAGTTTTAGTTTTAAAGCAATAATGACAGCAAATTAAACTTACATTATTGGCAAACACTCGAAGGTCAAGCGCAACTGCATACATGACAGGCAGAGCCCTAAGTGCAAAAAGAAACGTGTGAGGGGCTGTGAGGCACCAGATTCCATCCCCAGAGGCCACCCAGGGCTACTATCCAGAATGGGGTCCATATTTTTCCAAAACTCTGACAGGTATCTGCTTCCGCACCCTCTGTCCAGGTGGGCTGCAGGACACAAACTTCCCGATCATCCTGGGGCCCCACACTGCAGGGCTCCACACCTGTCCCCAGCCCTGTCAGAAGACCCAGCCATGTTTCAGCTCCGGGCTCCCAGGATATTCTCCTCCCCTCAGCTTCCCACCAGGATCCTAACAGCGCCACTAAAAAAGCAGTGGTTTGATCAGATTTCCTAACAGGAGCCAGAATATATAATACACAAAATGTCACAAAACCTTTACAGCCAACTGGCAAAAGTGGACGGTTTTCATGCGTGAGCTTTCACATTAAAAGAGAAAAGCGTGGATTTGTTTGTTTGCAAAAGGCCTTTGGTTATTTTAGTATAAAAAAATTTCAGTATTTACCTACAGTTTGTTAATAAGTCATAAAATTAAGAATCTATTTGAATTAGTTTGGCAAGGCATTTAAAAATGCCACCATTACTATGTATTAGAACACCCCAAATGAACTGTAGTTGGTCCACCTCTTTTATCCAACGTTTAAAATCAAAAACAAGTTCAAAATTGATAACTGAAGGAAAAAGCAGTATTTAATAAATATCTGGGGAAACAGACATCTGAAATAAAAATAATACTATATTTACATACACACACTCCAAACAATGTGGCTGATCTACAATTAAAG